CTCCAGCTCTGTCCTGTGCTGAGGGCTCCAGAGCTGGACGCCGGACTCCAGGGGGGTCTCAGCAGAGCGGGGCAGAGGGGCAGAATCCCCTCCCTGGCCCTGTGCCCACGCTGCTGGGGATGCAGCCCAGGGCACGGCTGGTCTGCTGGGCTGCCAGCACACACTGCTGGGTCATGTTCAGCTTTTTATCCACCAGCACCTCCAAGTCCTTCTCCTCAGGGCTGCTCTCCATCCATTCCCCACCCAGCCTGGATTTGTGCTTGGGATTGCCCCAACCCACGTGCAAGACCTTGCAGTTGGCCTTTGTTTGAACTTCATGAGGTTTACATGTGTAGAAAGCTGTGTGTGTTCATATTTATGCTCTTTATACTTTTTATTTGTTCTTGAGGTTCAGCTGATCTTCAGGTTTGTCCATGGAAGAATACAAGTTCACAGAAACTGAAGTATCATAGGCAGAAATATCATAGTAATTTGTAGCATTCTCCTTCTTTTACCGTCAAATTAAATATTTCCTGTTTTTCTTAATTTGATCCTATTAATTTTACACTGTCCTTCCACTTCACAACCTCTTTCAGAAATATTATTGATTTGTCAGCACCAGAAGGACACATTATTCTTGCCTTGCCCCATCACTAACCAAGTGTGGTTTTCAGTTGTATGAGCTCTTCTTCAAAAAGTACAGCAACAAGAGCAAATACCCCAGTATTCAGGAGACCTCTTACAATTCTTCTAATCTGAGATTCTTCTCCCTCTCTGTTTTTGTTTTGTGGTTTGTTTTTTTTTTGAAGTTTGCTAAAATTGAGTAGCATGTTAGTAAGTGCAGTAAAATCAAAAAGCATTTAAGAAAGGTTTGTTTTGTGCTTAAAATGGCTTGGACTCATTGGAGGAAAAATCTCCAAACACATCTTTGGAGGCAGCTCATGATTTTGTGTTTGTCTTTTTTCGTTTTATAAAATGGGAATAACTATCCCACAATATCATTGAAAAGGTGAAAGTGGTAGAATATCTGGATAACCATCTCTAATGTTATTATCTGTGCAAGTTCTCTGCCAATCTCCTGGCTCTGAGAGAGGTATGAAAGCACAATCGGCATGGCAAAAAATCGCTGATGTGCCTTAAAATGTGCTCTTCCCATATCCTGTTCTTCCTGGTGGCTGAGTGTCGTTTTATGCTATCAATAATTTCCTTTGTTTTCCTTTTCGCATTCATTTGTCTGCATGAAATCTTATTTTGTTCATTATTCTTCTCCTGGTTCTTCACAATTACTCTACTCCCCCATTTTCAGATTGTGTCAATTTTGAGTTGTCTATAGCTGTGTTTTTTGTTTGATTTCACAATTTCACATTATTTCTTTAATTGCTGTTTTTATCTTAACAATGTATTCTTTTACTGTCTTTTGACAAAATATACCAATGCCTTCTTTAGTCTTTAGATGTTTGTGGGAGTTTTATGCCTTTACAGTTGCCCATGCCTTTTAATATAGTTGTGGCAAGGCCTTTGGATAGCTGATAAATTTTCTGAGTTCATCTCCTATTTGAATTAAACATGCATCATAATACACATAACCACCTCAAGTGGTTGTCAGAAAACCATGGAAATACTGCAGAATACTGCTATTTTCTTTGAAAAAAAGCCAGTTAATCAAGGATGTGTTTATGCGCATGTACTTCAGTTCCTTAAATTCGTATTTCTTCTCCTAACAATATCCGTGTGGTAGGAAGACACGCTGCTTTGTGTGCTGCGCGAAGAGTAAGGCACTTTACATGTGACTTGTACCAGCTCTGTCTTGTCCTGTTTTTCTCAGTACAGAACTGTCTTCACCAGATTCAGGCAACATCTGGCCTTTTGCTCCTGAAAATTCGGTCGCCTGCCTGCTTCCTCGTGTGTGTGTGTGTCCATTTATTTTTCTTAAAGAATTTTACCTTTGCCTTTCTTAGGTTACACCTTGCATTATTTTCAGGATGAGAGCTACAGAAAACTTTCCTAATAAGGTGGTGGGATTTTTTCAGCTTATTTCAGCTACCTCTATTTTGAATTATGTTTTTCAGCCGATGACATGGCTTCTCCAAAATACCAACTTCATCTTCTTCTGTAGTCCTGCCTGCCCCAAACAAGCCGCTGTGTCAATATCAGTTGATGAACATCAGTTTGCTGGCCAGAAGTAACCTCAAGCAGTGATACTGTACTGGTTGCTTTCCCTGTCATTCTTGCCTGCCCCCTTCCCTCTCCAGAGCCACACGCTTCTAGTACAGGAAGCGTTCTTCTGTGCTGGTAGTGCGTAATTGCTTAGGGAAATCGGAGGGACCTTTGGACAGCTGAAGGTTTCTTTTGCACCAGCAGCTTTCTTCGTAGCGAGAAGAGGGACAGTTTCTGACAATGGGTTTGAGGTATCACGGCTGGCTGTACTGGCCTGGTCGAGAAGATGCTTCCAGTTCCTTCTTTCTTGCCCTTCAACAGAGGTTATTCCTCCGAGAACTGACAGATTCCCTGCTGACTACAAGCTAAATCTACCACCTTCTCCCACTCCAGGCTATTTCTTGCTCTCCTCCCAGTTCCAGGGAAAGGAAAATATTTTGGTTCTGGAGAAAAACATGGAAAATAACATTAATGATTGTAGTGATATGTTTGTATTTGGAAGTATTTTGCATTTGTAACTCATAAAATGTTCTTAAATAAACTTACCCTTAAAGTGAGCATGTGCCACTTCGCTTGAAGGGGAGATGCTGTTGCCCGTTACTAAATTCAGCAAAAAAACAGGACGTGGTAATTCTCAACTGTGTATCCAAACAACCAGAAGTCTCAGTTAAGGTGGGAATTTTCTTCTGTAAGAGCTAAAGAAGAGCTCCAGGTACTTTCCAATTACTCAATAATATGCAGCTTAGCTTCCTACAAACTACTGTAAAAAGCTAGAACTTAACTGTTCGATATTAATGAGATGTCCATGTCTCATGATATTTTATATTCCTTAAGTGTGCTGTCCACCAGATGGAAACTTCCTACGTTTGGTCTAATATTACCTAGAGTAGTCTAAGGTGTAAGTGGAACTGTACTGCAGGTGTGTTATTATTCGTTGTCTATTTCTGTTAACCTAGTCAGTGTATTTTTGAAATTTCTTTGGTGCTCAGTCTTAAGTTTGCTTTTAGTTTTGAGAACTCTTCTTCACCCATGCAGTGAGTTTTAGTAATCTCTGAATTGTGGCTTTGTGTAAAAATGAAGCATTTCATAATTTGCAGAATTTATAGTATTCAGTTCAGCTGTAATGACTCCCGATTAGTGCAAATACATGCCTGCTTCCCTGGGCAGCTCGCCTGTATTTTAGCAAACTGTTATTTCGGAGTGCCCTGCAGAACTCTGTGACATCTCTTTTTGCTCTGTTAAGAATGGAGTCTTGAATTTGTAGTTTATGAACACTGAAAATAAGGTGGGGTTTTTTGTTTTGTTTTTTTTTCCCAGCCCTTAAGTCTGAAAGTATATTTTACCTGTATGCTGGCAGCAGCCATTTTTGTCTGGGTCCCTGTTCCTTTCCATTTGTTAGGTTTCACTTGATGTGAAGCGCCAGTCCTGTCAGAGCTTATGGCATGTTTCCTCATCGAAGATGAGTGGAACAACAATGGAGAGGGTTCTAAAAGTTAAAATGTTGAAGTGAGAACCTGCAGAACAGTTTCCCTTAAGGTAATTTCCTGCAGTGGGAGACCTGCTTCAGTTTCCCTCTGTGTGGAACAGCTGCTGGGTGGTATGGCTGAAGAAGAATTTGAAAGCAACTTCAGCTCTTGGTTTCCACCTCGAGCCGGAGACACCCACGTGTTTGGGTCAGATGGTCAGATGTTTCCCCGCACCGTAAGGAATTAGTGTTTCTGGTGAGGGGAGCAGTTGAGCAACCTGTAATTCGGGCATTAACCTGCTGCCTGCTGGACCATATCACTCATCTGCTTTACCAGCCAAGGGGATTCCCTTCCATTCCCCTCTCTCAGGGAGATGTCATGCTTGTTTCGTATACAGAGTCCATTTTCTTCACAGCCAGAAATACTTGCTCTGCTCAGAAGCAGAAAGCCCAGAGCTTCGGGAAGTATCTGTTACCGAATTTTACCAGCTGCCGGGGGCCTTCATGCCTGTGGAGTGTTGCACCAAGTATTACTTGGGCAGATGGTGTCGCAGCATCCTCTTCTCTTTGTCAGGAGGAGTTGTCCTCTGGAGCTGTAACACCGAGAACTGAAGTTACCGGCTGTTCTTGGTGTTTCCCTGGGTGTGTCTGGATGGCAACAGTTCATCACCTGAGCTGTTTGGGAAGGTTCCAGTGTGCTGTCTGCCCCACCAGCCTCAGGAGCAAGAGGGAACCCAAACTAGATATGTTCGTCTGTGAAGTTTTTTGCTTGTGCCTGCTTTTTCCTATCAAACAGCTTGGTGTTTGAAAATGCATTCTTGGTTCCTTGGTAGGCCATCTTCTTGCTTCTTGGTTATGAAGAGAAGTGAGGCAGCAGAAGTCACTTTGGACCGATCAAGCGTGTTAGGTTGTGGTTACAACTGAGGACTCTTTCTGGCCTTTCCTTTCTACCTTGTCCAGGCAACACTGTCCAGAGCTCCACGCTAATCCAAGATTGGCATTGTCTTGGTGTGTGGCTGCTGGATATCAGCTGCTAGAGCAGACCTAATACTTAACTGTTCTTCCAAGTGCTAGAAGTTCTGGTAAGTGTTCTTAATTTTCTTTTCTTTCAGGTCTCTTTTTTCCTCCTCTGCTAGGACCTTGAACTATGTGTTAGCTATAAAGGACTGTAACATCTCCTAGACTTGAGTCAAAAATATTTTAGTAGCAATATTGATCTTTGGGGTTTTTTTAACAATGGCCTTAATAAAATGCAGTTGGCTAGTTTTTTTCCAGCTGTGAAAGACTTTTTCTGAACAGGACTTGAACCTAGTACTCAGAACTCTCAGGGATCTGTTTCTGAGTCTCTGATAAACATTGTCACACCATCCCCTGTGGAGACACAGTCTCTGACAATTGTGACTGGAGAGGATTGAGAGGTACAGGCTGATTCCTCTTATGTGGCATTAATTCAGAATAGGGTGTTGACTGCAGATTCATCCCAAATCCTGTCTGCAGAGTGACTGTCAAATTAACTTAATTATTTTTCTCCAGGCTTCGTACATCTGGGCTGAAAGCAACCACATTCTTAACGCGCTCTTAGCACTGATTCATTGGACGCTCCTTTGCTCTTCACACTGATGGCTGTTTGGAGGGATCTGGCATTTTTTTGGATAGTGGCGGTGTCGAGGCTTGCTGTCAGACTGCCAAAAATTACTCCATTTCCTCTTCATCACTGGAGTATACTCGCTCAGAGCCAAGCAGCACCAGGGCCATGTCTTCAGTAGGCTGCCATGCGAGCACTGCCTTTGTTTTTATCTAGCATTGGTGCTCACAAGTCCCTATACTTCCCACCTGCAGTTATGAGTCTAAATAAAACTCATGAGCCTCTTTTTCCTTTCCCTAATCCTGGGGAATTTTCATAGTACTTTTGTTTCTGTCCTCTTACTCATCTGAGTGTCCGTCATAGAGGAGATCGATTCAAAAAATGACTAACAAATGTTTTTGTCATGACAAATTAGTGGTACTTTCCAGTATTTAAAGAGTAACTTAAAGGAAAAAAAAACAAAAAGGAGAGGTGGGCGGGAAGCTTTTACTTATTTGCAGTTTATGCCCCAAGGTCTCCAAGACACACATTTAGAAATTCAAGCCATATGCTTTCCCTGTTTGCTATACTGTCTTCAGGGCCCGTAGGTATTTGATATATGTATATCTCTGTATTTATATCTGTCTGTCTATCTGTGTCTCTGTGTATATAATGCCTTCCCCCAAACCAATCATTTAATAGATTTATCTGTAATTATGAGAGATACAACACTGTTTTGATACTTGTTTCTGACATCAGATTCTCTTATGTGGTTTTGCTTGTGGCATAGGGAAGGTATTTATTCTTTTGACTGATGTCATCCAAAGATCTTTTTATTCTGTGTATCCTTTTTCTTAAATTAGATAACATTTTCCCATCATTGTTTTTTCCCCCATAGGCCAAAAGCAAATACATTGTCATGAGAATTGGTCTCTGTCTCCTGAGGAATTTGAAATATGGGACAGACTTTACAGGATTAAGGAAAGCGATGGATTAAAGGAACTGATATTGCCTCAAACTCAGTTTGAAACCTTAGAAAACGTGGAAGAAATATCAGTGAGTTTAACCTAAATGTAATGTTTCCTTTGACATGACGCCTAAAGGATAGCCTAAGTAACAGTGAACTATGAATTTGAAGGAGGTCTATATTAAAAATGCGATTTTGAGAATTATATGTAGGTTTTGAGGTTAAGAATTTAAGAATTAGATGTTTGAAATGGGTCTTTCAGGTTAGATCTGTAAATTAAACACACATCAAGAAGTCTCTCAGAATCCATTAGGTTTTGTTCCTGTTTCTCGGAATTCCAGGGAGGATGCTGTATTCGTGGTGGTATGGTATCCGCGCTTTTTCAGTCCTTTGTCTGTATAATTATAAAGGTGCTACTGAAAGAAAACCTCAAGTTTTGCAAGCTCTTCTCTGATTTAGAGAAAACATTTGGAGCTTTTGTGTCATGTCACCACTTAAAACAATCTGTCTTCCATGAAAGGCTGTGACAACACAAAGCATGGGGTTGTTTGTATTTAAATCAGATTTAAATGTTTGTGATAATGTGTAGATACTTTTCTCCATTCAGAGTATTTATGGTCCCTGACAGAGAAGTAGATATTAGTTTTGCTAAACAAGTTCTTGATTAAAATCTCCTTGCCAATCTTGATTTCAAACTGCAGAAGCATGAAGAGGGGGCAACTCACAAACTTTCCTTGTCCGAATGGAGAATTTGGCAAAATCGTCCTTTTCCTACGTCCATGGTTGATCACTCGGATCGTTGCTACCATTTTATCAGCGTTATGGAAATGATAGAACTGATGAGACATGAAGAGGTAAGGTGTTTATGTTTGGCTGGTTGGAAACATGCACAAGTATTTAATGCACAGGTGGAATATTTAAAAAATAATGACTGTTCTAGTGCTGTCTGGTCAGCTGAAACTAGAAATGAGGAAGCGTTTGCATGGGGCTAGTTAAGCGTTGTGAAATGGGTAATATGTATTTAATTTTGTTTCAAAATGTCTCCTATTTGTATTTTGTAATCCTGAATCTTTTCCACAGAGGTTGTTTAAAAACAGTTCGTGTTTCCCCACACAGAACCCTCCCCACCCATAAATCATTCTTTTTTAAATGAATCCAAGTATAATTTTTTTACAAAAAGACATTTAAATACAAGAACTATGTCTGTCAAGGAGCAAAGTCACCAGACGTGATATTAGACCTATTCCAGAGTGTAACAGGAATTGCAAATAATTTTGTATCACGTATCACATTAAATGCATCCCATAAAAGTGATGCAGGAATCTATTACATGTTTTAAGGTGGTTGTTTTTGGAGGCTTTTTGGGTTTTTTTTCTGTGAAAGGTTTAATTAAAATCTTAATTGCTGCTAAAAATTACAGGATAAGAGGAGGGCAGTCAAAACAAACATGGTTGAAAACCATTTGGCAGAAAGTAATTTTGTTTGCTATCAGCTGTGGGTAGCAGATATGTCTTTATAATGAAAGGCACATACAAGAACATGCGTGTAGAGATAGATCTGTTGACAGCACCTAAAGACTGCAGTTGGTCACCACACTTTTTTCCTCCAGTTTAGCTCTTCTGTGTTCTACAGGTACTGCTTTTTAGTGCGTTGAAGTTTTCTAGGTCATCAGAATCTGTTGCTAAGCTGCCAGAGTTTTCTGAGTAACTAGACTAATCAAGGAGGAGAATAGAGACATTGTAGCTGTACTCCTTGCTAGGAAAGTATATTAATGGAAGGTTGTAAATAGACTTCCAGAGTTCAGATAAGCTTTTCCACTTCAGCACAGAACAGTGGCGTTCTTGACTTCTTTGAGCATCTGTGTTCCCAAGGCAGGATCAAGAGCGTACTGCCAGAGAGAGAGGACTTGGGGGAGAGTTCAGGTATGGGAAGCTGAAGGAAGTCAAGAGACAAAGCAATGGTTAAAACATTTAGACTTGCTATTCTAATTGAGGTCTTCCCACCGCCAAATCAGGCACTTGAAGTATTTATGACTTCAGTTCCTTTTCTGAAAGTGTGTTGATACCTGAAGTCTGTTCAGGTTCCCACACACCTTCAAAGTTGTGGATGCTAAACCAGCATCTGGCACCCTTAACATTTACAGAGCAGATTTGTTACTCTCCAAACGAATCTTCCGTCTTCTTCACCAGACTTTGCCAAAGGAGGTGCCAAAAGTTGTAAGCAAAGCAGAGTATCAATTTGTTAGTCACCAAGCGAATCTTCAGTTGTCTTCCCCACACTTTGCCAAAAGTTGTAAGCAAAGCAGAGTATCAGATGCTTGCTTTCACAAGCAAGCTTTTGCAGAACTTTTACAGAGATCGGTCTGCCTGCTGTCCCTCAGGGGCAAGAGACAGCCCAGCTCACCTACCTGGACTCTCCTCTGTGCAGGGAACAGAGAG